GCAACGGCTTGCACTGGAAATAGCCGATATGCTTTACACAGAAAAAACACTTTCTAGGTGGATGTAGGTGGAGGCTGGGTGCGGAGCACGCAAGGACTGGCCCAACAACCTGTGGCAATAGGGCGAGTCGGTGATCCTTGAGCTTGTGTAGTTGCTCTTCGACCTGTTGAAGATGTCCAAGTTGCTGATGCAATTGCCTCGCAAAGAATTTGGACAGCATGTGGAAAGTGAGCCCAAAAACCACTACATCTACCCCCGGTTTTTCACCGTGGCTTTTGGAGCTCAAAATCAAACCCAGATCAACAAACTGTAAACCTCTGGTGAGAGGCACCCTTAAAGCTGAACCGTTGCGTGCGTATGCAATTTGGGGTGGCCTTGAGCCAATCCGATCACCAACACCATCGAAGCAAGAACTTGCTCTTGCGACTACGCAAGAGAACGGGAGTGGGCAAGCGAGTTCATCGGGACCAGAAGGGCTGGATCAGGTGAGGCAAATCGCATTGGATGCCGTAACCATCCGTAACCTGAAGCGAAGTTGAAGTCTGTCCAAACAGGCTCCCCACAGCCCTTGAAACTAGTACGAAGAGGTAGGACAAATGACCCAACAGCACAAGCGCGTTTAGCAACAGCTGTTTTACTTGCCAAACTGACCAACCAAATGGACCGCGCTGCAACTGCTGGCTTCGGATTCTCAAAAATCATCAGTCTCTTGGGAACAGGCTGTGGTGGAGAAGCTGATCTGCATGCCCACCCCTGCCTTGGCCGAAGGAAACGCAACTTCAATCAAAACCAAAGCGAGTGGATAGAGCAAAACAGTTCTTGACCAATGCCTGTGGGCTTTCGTGTGCAAGGGCAAAACAAGGAAGTTTTATATATGGATGACTCGATGACCATCAGCAGAAAGGCGCCCGGACAAGCACAACATTTGGTCTAAATGCCCTTTTCTTGTCCAGTTATTTCTGTTGACGGCCTAGGGCCTAGGACTTTGCATTGATGCAGCTGGGGCTCTGCAAGGCATCTGCCAGGAAAGGCTGTTGCACATTCGGCCTCAATCCAGTGCTGATCGTTCATCAGGTGGCAATGCAGCCAATATCTCCTGTTTGGAATTGAATGCCTCACTTCGCACATGGGAATGCAAACAAATGGATCAAGAGTCAACACGGGTTCTCTATCTCTAGACCTTCTCAGGTCGCAGCATTCCAACGTCGCGCCATTGAGGGCTCGGACGGCGGCTTGGCCTCATGAGAGACTCATCTATATATATATAACTTGCACCTGGAATATGATGCAATTACTGTAATTGTCAACTATCAACAAAAATCGCAATCTTACCTGAGACCTGTCACAAGAACACAGCTTCAAGGCAAGGCCAGCCCCCAGATCGCCAGACTATAAACGGGAACCCTTCGCTACACATGTGGGAAAAAGGCTGCTTTGGGCTTACCAAAGCCTACCTCGCACATCTGGAAGTGACATGAACCCCTTGGTCTTGAAAACGCCAAGGCAGATGCAAAG